GAGGAAAGGGGGGGGGGGGCGAAGAGACCGATGCGACCAAGCGGAAACGCAGCACAGAGGCAACCTCAGTGAACCAAGAAAAAAGAGAAAGTGGCAACCAAAACAAGGGCAAATTGAACAGTCCCCGGGGATTTCCAGAGCAGCAACACCGTTCGGACATTCAAGGAACATAGCTTGGCTAATGATGGTTGTGTGTTCGTGTGGGTGTGTGGTGCACGCAAGCCTCTCGTGGCCATTCCAGAAACGTGTGTCCCTTCACATTTAGGAGTGCGGCGAAGCGTGCGTGGGTCTCTCTTTCTCTCTCTCTCTTCTCGGTTAAAAAAAAAAATCATCGGCGTGTTTACATTAAGATGTGCCACATAACACCATCGGTCCCTCCTTCCTGCTCCTAATTTCACCACCGAAGCACACCCAGCTTAGGTGAATTCAGTGTGCCGAGTCTGCCCTGCGCGCGCGCACGCGCGTACGCTCTCTCTCTTACACACACACACGCACACACACGCGCGCGCACACACACAAACAACCCGGCTAGGCAAGGAAGGTATGCGGTGCTGCCGTGATGTGAAGATTAGCTAGAGGCTGGTCGCATTTGTTTAGGACACGGTCCAGCTTCTGCCGGTAGAGTCCAAGATACTATCTTAGGTTAGGTTTAGAAAAACCATTCACATGAGGTGTAGACATCTGAAGCGCCACGGCGACTAAACCCTAAACAGGGACGTTTCTTCTTCTTTTTGTTCTCATGTATCTTCTCGGGGGTTCCCTTCTCTCAGAGACACACGGGGGTGGGGGTGGGGGGGGAGAGAGATGAGGGATCTAACACAGATTTCATTGAACACGTCTCAGCTCTCCAGGTGCAGTCGTTTGAATAGTCCGTGCCAGACCCCCATGTTTTCTTTTCCAGCCGATTTTGCTTGGATCAGGCTCAAAATCCGAGTGAGTCTCGTGGTTTTGTTTACACTGAATGGAGAGGATAGGAACGGTGCCATGGGGCCGTCTTTCATTAATATACAGTGAGGATTTTGTCTAAATTACTGCTATGAATTTCACAGTACATGCTTTCAAAAGCCGTCTCAGGTGGCCTGATGAAACGTGATAGCGCCTCTGCAGACCTACTTTCCTAATAATAATAATAATAATAGTAATAATAATAGTAATATTAATGATAAAAAGAAGCTTAAAACACTCTCCTGAACTGCAGCATATCCCTGAAACAAATAAATCCACTAAGCTCAGTTTGATGCTTTATATGATTTTATATGATTTTATTTTATTTTAAATGGCAAACTTAATCTTCCCCCAATCCCCCGCCAATTCATTCTCCCCCCCCCACATCCCGCTTTCCTGTAGAACGTGATTGCTTTGTCTGGGGGAGGGAAAAAAAATCTAAAGTATAACAGGGGGAGAACAGTTAGTGCTGATTTTCATTTGCATAAATTTTCATATATTTTGGTGAAAATAATAGACTAGTGGAGAGCTGGGCTTAGTGGAGTCAGTGCAAAGAAAAATCTTACCCTGGA